TTCGACCCTCTTCATCTGGTTGGAATGTGGAACTGACCCCTTTATTTCGCTCGCTGGTGTAGACTGTTCTAGTTCCACTTGCTATGTCTAATGGGTGTCAGTTATCTCCTGTTAATTCCCCTCTCCAAGTTCTCCACTGCCTTAACTGGATATTGAACTCACACTCTTTGGGTCCTGTCACTGGATCTAACCAACGGCTTTATCCACTGGGCCATGTGTTCTTGAGAGGGGAATTAACAGGAGATAACTGATAACTGACATCCATTAGACATGGGATTTTTTTTTTAGTGTTTTTCAAAAAAAATCTGATTGTTTGCCTGAATATCTAAATATATGTTCTACGGACAGTAAAAGTTTAATTAATGTAACTGTATTAGAATTACCTAAAAAACATTTTTTGTAATGTGTTGTGAACTTTTCCGTGGATCTGAATATACAGTTCAGTGATCCATTGTGCGTAGTCAATGGTTATTTTGTTGGGCGGTAAAGGTTATGTTTCGAATTATTCAAGGGGCTATTGAGTGGAAATAATTGTGGATCCGGATGCAGTTTTTTGGCTATTAATAGTGTTGTTTGTTAATTTTTATTATTGCTCATTTTATTGTTGTTTGTTATTCTTTATGTTTGCTTGTGCTTATATGTATGTTCATGGTTTGTTAATTTCTGTACTATTTACTTCATTCATTTACTTATTTATAGGAAAATAACCGTTAAAATATTACCACAGACTACCCATAAAATGTACATGCACAAAGGGTGTGATGGATAAATTGTCGTGTAAATTGCGTAAAACTGAAAATAACACTGACATTTCGTTTTAAAGATATATTTACCAAAATTACACCAAAATATCTTGAAATACTAAAGTATACATTTTCTTCAATAAAATCGCCATTGGCTTCAACCATGGCCTTCAGACAACTTCGGAATCTCCTGCATCACCAGGATGGTCTCCTAGTTAGAGATAGCTGCCATAATCCTTGCCTTCAGTTCATCCTGTTTTTGTGGCATGGTGCGGTATCCTGTTGCAAGACATACAGTCTTCCAGCAGCCACTCTCTTCCCTCTTAGCCCACGGTAGTACTACCTCTCCAAGGCACTTGATGTAGGGTTCTGTGTTGAGTCTGAGACCCCGTGAGAAGATGAACGAAAGCATTGACATCACTAGCGATCCATCCAAACACCTTCGTGATCACTATTAGATTCATCCAACTCTTTCCGATTCCTCTGAACTATCCTCAGATTGACACCCAAACAATCTGAAATGCTCGTGTAGGAGCTTCTAGCGCAAATGCCAAGCAGTATAGCACTTTTTTCTCTCAGGCAGTGCCCAACTAACTCTACTGTGCAATCCACAAAATCGAAAACAAACAACGCACATGTGCGAAATTAAAAATATGATATGGCGACAATTTACACATCGCACCCTGTATATATGCCCAAATAAACTCAGTACGTTTTGACCGTGTTCATGATTGATGTTGTTTAAAAGTAACGGAATAATTTTATAAGTACTTCCATCAATTTTAAACGCTTTTTTCAGTTCAAGGTATATTTCACATTCATGTACTTGACGAATATGTTGCATATTGAAGATTTTACCATTCTAAGCTGGTTTAAATATGTCAGTATTGAGCTCTGGTCGGATAAATGTATAGTCAGTTGTACTGACAGGCAGTTGACGGTACCATTAGAAAATGTTTTTTGAGGAAAGCATTTGTCATGTTCCTGGAAGGGAAAAGAGTAGGAATCATGATAGGGGCTAGGTGGAAAAGTAATGCTTTTGTTGTTAATTGCTCATAATAGAAGGCTCATGAGCCACTCAAATTAGACAGTTCCTAATTGGGGTACAGAAGAGGAATAGGAAAAGAAAGCAATTTAATTGGATACGTAGGAAACGCAAATCTTAGTGAAGTCAATATTGTAGTGATCGGGAAGCATCATCACGGGAGTCTGTTGTATGAAGTGGCGGTTCTTGGGAAATAAAGGTTTCCGAATTGCTAATGGGATTCAAAGAGAATGGGACGATTCGTTCTGGTGCAGCGGAACACGGCGGGTCTTAGGAGTAATGGTCTGAACAGATGGAACTAGGTATTGTAGTTCGTCACAATATCTATGATTCGTTTCACGGTTCATGACATGGCGGGTCTTAAGTAGTGAAGGTCTGAGCTGGTGGAACTAGTGATTGTAGCTCGTCACAATATCTGTGATTCGTTTCATGGCGTGTCTTAGGAGTGAAGGTCAGAAATTTTGAAACTAGGGATTGTAACTCGTCACAATATATATTATTCGTTTCAGGGTACATGAAATGGCGTGTCTTGGGAGTGAAGGTCTGAACTGGTGGAACTAGGAATTGTAGCTCGTCACAATATCTATGATTCCTTTCAGTGTGCATGACATGGCGGGTCTTAGTTGTGAAAGTCTGAATTGGTTAAACTAGGGATTGTAGCCGGTCACTATATCTATGAATCCTTTCAGGGTACATGGCATGGTGTGTCTTAGGAGTTAAGGTCTCAAATGGTGATACTAGGGTTTGTAGCAAGTCACAATATCAATGATTCGTTTCAAGGTGCATGGCATGACGGGTCTTAGGAGTGAAGGTCTGAACTGGTGGAACTATGGAATGGACCTCGTCACAACTTCTACCATGGTAATAGTGATAAAATATCAGGTGGCATGACAACATTTCTTCGTAGAATATGGTTGTTGAGTTGCAAGTATTTCATCAGCCACAAGGACGCCCTCGAAGCCGCTTCTGAACTCGACATTTCTTGGAAAGTGAGGGTTGAATAGTTTTACGTAGCAGTAGTTTTAATTTTGTTTTTTATTTTTTATTTTTTTTTGTCTGAACTGACCCTTTAAGGATAAATTTTTTGTTTATTTGTTTCACAATAAACATGTTAAATTAGCAAATGGCTGTTCTTTACTTTTTGGACCTTCGTCATATATGCGGATGTCGTGTTAAAATAATGATGATTTAGTTTAGCCTGATCTAGAAAACTGGCCTAAAACCAAAATCTGTTTTTGCCAACCAATATTTGCTTTCCATAATACTTAGACAGGGCCTCCACATTGTGCTCAACGAGAAGGTCGTTCTGACGCCTTGGCAGCACAAGTCGCGCGAGGCTGGGCAATTTTCGCATCTATCTATCCACACGCGAGACCTCGATATGAAACCTGACCTTATATTACATTTGCTCATATAGAGGTGCAGATAATTCCTAATTTTGACTTTCCAAACCTTTCCGTCTTATTCTTCCTCTCCTCTCCTCTCTCTCTCTCTCTCTATATATATATATATTTTCCCTCGTTTTCTTCTTTTGATTGGCTCACTGGAAAATATCCGTGAAAAATGAATTGTAGTCTATTTTAAAAATTATTTTTTTTCTCTTTTTTACTTCATCTTGCATACAAGTCTTTCGCATCGTTTATCTTGCTTTCTCACGCACTCTCTTTTTCAAGTCCCTGTTGAAATTTTGCCAACAGATTGTCAAGCAGTCTGTTGAAGTTTTGTCAATATTTTCTCCGAAGCCTCACACAGATTTCCCCGAAGCTTCTCGAAAAGTCTATTAAATGTGAAAATCGAACAATTATTCTTCAATATAGCAGTATCAGTGTAAATTTCAGTTTTTGTATTTTCATTTTCTGAATAATGATAATATTTAAGATAATAACTGAATAAGCACATTGCGAATTCAACGACTATAAAATAACTATAATGAAACTGAATCATATATATATATATATATATATATATATATATATATATATATATATATATATATATATATATATATATATCATAATTAAGTAATTCATTGAGTCTAGAGGAAATCTCAACAAAATGCAGAAAGCACTGGACAGCTGTTTCGTCCTATATTTGGGACACATCAGCAGTGCGCATCCACTACTGAGAATTGAAACCCGGACAGTTTCGCTATGAGGCATACCACACACACACACACACACACACCACACACACACACACACACATATATATATATATATATATATATATATATATATATATATATATATATATATATATATATATATATATATATATATATATAAAATATATGTTTAAAAACATAAATTCAGATCATTATTTAACGAAGATGGTACAAATGAATAGATTCGAGAATAAATTTTTTTTTTCTATTTCACGGAAGCAGACGTTAAAATATGCGAGCATTATCACCTCCACTACCGTCGTTTTTTCTTTCTGCCTTTATTTCTTTTTTCTTACTCTCTTTCTTTATCTACCTCTATCTTTCTTTCTTTCTTCTTTCTATTTTTATGATGCATGCTTATTTTTTCTGTCACTAAAACTAAAGTATCGAATTAAAAAGGGAGATAACTGATAATGTGATAACCAGAAGAGGCATGGGACGTGGAACTAGAACCATCTGCTCCGGTGGACGAAATAAAGGGTTTGGTATGAAATTCCAATCACCTGAAGAAGGCTGAAGCGTATAATGGCCGAAACGTCGTGAATGTGTCAACAAAGATGAGAACAATGTAAATAGTGTAGATAATGGCATTACTTCATCTCAGATATAGAGAGAGTTAAAACTAAACAGTGTCTACCATGCATTTTTTTTCAATCTTTCCACACTGTCAAAACGGAACGGTCTATTATTTATCTGAGGTAATGACAGTGCGTAACGTACACGCTAGCTAACTTGCAAACGGAGCAAGAAGCGGAATTAAATATAATTTTAGATACCTTCATCAGCGATGATTTATTGCTGAATTCCTTGTAAGCTTATGGTTTGGCCTGGATCTTTCAACAGCCCAAGACAAGTTAACGATTTAAAAGTGGATATCCGCTGTTCAGTACCACTGGTTGTGGAAGCCTTAACCAGCTTTCTAATCGAAGTATCAGGCAATCAAAACACGAAACCGTAAAACTGAACATTCAAGAACAGTGTAGAACTTTCCATAAAGCCTGATTGGGCAACTGTTTCGTGCTGGATAACTTGACTTTTCACAACAAACATGGATTCCACTAAACACTTTCTTGCGTTTATCCTTCACTTTTCTCCCCCTTTCACTTTTCTCTCTTCATTTCGCCTCGTCTTGTTTCTTCCTCGCTTTATTTTTTTCTTTTACCGAAACCTTCTCAGCGTCCTCTCCCTCCTCCCATCTCTCTTAGTGTCTTATCCACTCCGACACTCCCCGCTTACTCACTTCATTTCAAAAGTGTTAGCGAATAATTGATATAAATCACCACTGCCAATTTCAGGGGAAATAACTCGTTGCCATGATGGTCTCCAATTTGGCTGTTTCTCGAGTTACCACTAGGTAGTTTACCTACCTCCCACCCTCCGGCACAATGTCCCACAGGTCCTTTGGCCCAATCGATTTCTTCTTGAGGCAAAGATATTAACTTTGCACCGTTCACTTCAGCAACGTGCGTAGAATGGACGGGCATTTTGCTGGCAAGGCTTATAAAATTTGCAGAATTAGGCAGTCACATATGAAATGCTCAATGCCTGAAAACATTTGGGTCGATTTCTCTGATTGTCACTACTGAGTCCGTATATATGAATTATACGTGTGTATTTGTGCTTCTATCTATCTAAACACATACAAACACACACACAAACACACAAACACAAAACAAATTGTTACTTATATATATATATATATATATATATATATATATATATATATATATATATATATAACGTTATTGGAAGTTTTTTATTGTATATACTTGTTTGAAATAGACGTCCCGTTTTATTTTATACGGTGTGGGGGGGGGTGAAAATATATATATATGTTTTGAACAGTATAAATATTAAAAAAGTAAATTTCCAGAAACACTGGGTTGTATATTAATATTTTTGTTTTATTATTTAAATTAGGTTACTCGACTAGTTTCCGCCAGTATATATATCATCATATATATAATATATATATATATATATATATATATATATATATATATATTCAGAGATAGAGCGGATGTAAATTTTTTATGCAACAAAAACAGACTATCATTATTGTTTCGTCCTTGTATTGTTTGATATATCGAAAAGTAATTGTCATCTTTGTTAATAGCTTATGTGAGCCGAAAGCTTAGATTGGATTTAAACATGTATCAATATGGTGATTTCCTATCGTCTTTCAATGATAATGTTATTAAGCTTATCAAACAATATGAAATGAAGATACTTAAAATAAATAGACAAAACTTGTCTATATTTTTTAATGAAACATGCATCAATGAAAATTTACTGCCGAAATGCACATATATATATATATATATATATATATATATATATATATATATATATATATATATATATATAAATTCCAAATCATGTTAAGTTGGTATTTTATAAGTTTTTGTTGCTTGTTTCTTTTTTTTTTTTTTTTCATTTTAATTATCACAATAACGTCATTAATAATATCAAAGGCAGAAAGGTCAGTGCTTGTTGGACTGAATAGACAAAACGTTCTTGGTTTAATGAATCGAAATTCATCAAATCTATTGAATTCTGTTATAATTACATGTAATTAAGCCCAGATAATTGATTTGATCAATTAAAATTAATCACTTTAGTCTTCGTCTAAAGAAAATTTGTTTGATGAGGCCAATTGAAAATTTAGTGAACCTTCTCCATCGTTCGCTTGCCAAGCAGCTTCTAATTGATGTAGCAGGCCGGAGAAATTAGGTGACACCGACATATGTTTGGCTACAATGATGGCAATGTTCTTAGAATGGGAAGAAATTTAAAAAGACTATTATGCTTATATTTGTTGTTTTTATCCCCAGGCATTGGTTAGAATTATCCAAAAAAATTCTAAGTGCCGTCTCTCTTCAGGACTTAGATGATCATGGCTCTCCACAATTTCCTGCCCTTCATAGCTCATCGAAAATTTTGTTGATTTCCTCTGTCTCTCTTGCCTTCAATATATCCTGCGCGTATCGGATTTTCCAAGTACTCTCTCCTCATTATGTTCTCTAGAATTTTCAATTCTCTCTTCTTGATGCTTAGTAAAACTTTCCTTTTTGTTTTCACTTTCTCGAAAATGTCGTTCGTTGCTCACATGTTCAGTCCATGCTATGCTCAGCATCCTTCAGTAAAATCACAAATCTCATCTGTGATCAGATCGCCCAGCATTCACTGTCATATAGGAGGACTGATATTACGTAACAGTTCAGTACTCTTTTCTTTCTTTCTGTGGCTTCAAGTCCCTTCTCCATCTGTGATCAGATTGTCCAGTATTCACTGGCATATAGGAAAACTGATATTACGTAACAGTTCAGTGCACTTTTTGTTGTTTTTGTTACCTCAAGTCTCTTCTTCATCTTTGAGGACCTTGTCCAGCATTCACTACCATATATGAGGACTGATATTACGTAACAGTTCAGTACACTTTCTGTTGTTTCTGTGGCTTCAAGTCTCTTCTTCATCTGTGATGAGATTGTCCAGCAAATGTTTAGAAAGACTCCACATTAATGGAATTTGATTGAAAACTCGTAATCATTAAAAGAACTGGCTAGATGTAGCCGCAAATTACTATGCTAAGTTTCTATTTCTCGCACTTCTCGCTTGTGGAACTCCCTCCCGGCTCCATGCTTTTCAACCAACTTTAATCTGCCAAAATTTAAATGCAATGTCAATCGCTATCTACTCTTCTTCTGATTACTCTTTTCTCTTCCCGCTCATTATTAATGTTTCTATTCCTAATTCTTCCACATCTTGTAACCACTTGTGTCTTTAGAGGCTTTACCACCTTACATGGGGTGAAACCGGTTAAAAAATGTATATGAGAATAGAAAACAATATTTACGAAAATGTCTGTAATAAGACATTTTAGAGTCGAAGTGGCAAAATATAGCCGTAAAACCTATGCTAATATTTTCTTCTCTCGCACTTCTCACTTGTGGGACTCCCTTTCCGGCTTCACGATTACCAATCAACTTTAATCTGGAAAAATTTAAATGCAATGTCAATCGCTATCTACTTGATTATTCTTTTTCTGCTCACCATCATTGTTTCTGTTCCTAATTCTTCCACACCCTGTAAGCAGTTGTGTTTTAGTTCCAGTATTGCCTTTCTTCGGTTGATACCGATTATAAAAAATAATTCATAAAACTTGCTATTACTATTATTACTATTATTTGGATATAAAATTACTACTTATTTAGATAATTAGATAATTATCCTATCGACTAATTTATATTTATGTAAAATGTCAGACAGCACCAATCGTTACTATGAGCACCAAAAGAAATCAAATAGTACCAACACTACTGAGTCAAAAGTTATAGAATTCTATAAAAATTTAATTATGATTTTTTATTATTTTTAACTTTATGTCTGTTTCTAAAATTTTTATTTTTTGAAACTAAGACTATGTTTATTTTATATGTTTTTTGTTTTTTTTTTAATGTAAATACAACGATATTTTTGTGCAGACATAAGACTGAATTTTAATAAGGCGGGTATAAATTCTTACTGCATATAAATGATGATTTTAAAGAAAAACATGAACAGAACGACTGGTCCTCTGTGGCCATTTTTTCATTTGAATTAAAAGTACATGTCTCAGAAGAAATAAAAGATGAATGGACGAACGGTAGACTTATAGCTATGTAATATAAAGATATAGATATTATTATCATTATAAGAATTAATACAAACATTAGTAAATTATTCAGCTATGTCTAAAGTATGAAGTTCACATTGGACTTAGCATCGTGATATGAATTAACTGTTATAGATACTGAAGTAATTAAACGATAAAAATTGAGATGAACAGGATATATAGCAAGTAGAAAAGATAACAGGTGGAACAAAAGGTTGCTTGACTGGTGTAGAAGCTGGTTTTGTAGGAAAAGAGGAAAATATGGAATAGAGGGATTTCCTGTTAAGACATGGCAGATGATAGGACAAACGCAGTCGACATGAATGGATCTAGTAAAAGCAGATTAAATAAGGAAGTTGGGAGGAAGTTGATCTAAAAATCGTTAACGAAGCAGAAGAAGCAATAATTTAATCGTATTTAAATGTTAATTTGATTGTCGGGGAGAATATGAGAGGACGTCTCAAAATGAATGGATGTTGGCTTTGGTTCTAACAAAAAGATTAATTCAATAAGGCTCCATTTTTTTTTTCTTTCTTTTTCTTCCTTCTTTTCTTTCTTTCTTCCTTTCTTTCTTTCTTTCTTTCTTTCTGTTTTTCATTTTTTCTTCTTTTTTTCCTTACACTTTCTCTCGCTTTCTTTCTTTCTTTTTTCGTCCTTTTCTCTTTCTTTCTTGATTGATTCGTTTTCTACGGTTTATCAACCTTTTCTAGGTTATTTAAAGCCAGAAATGTTTTTTTAGTTGGGATAATAATGATTTAGTTATCCAAGTCTTACTATTTAACCTATACCTGGAGGGTGAAGAGATCGATTTATATCTTTCCCATGGGTATTTGCGCGAATGTGGATATGATGAAAATCCAACTGGAATTGTGATTTGTCTCTCCGATTAATAATCCCGAGCCATTACACCACCCGCACACCCAGGCTTACAGTACCTGGTATAGCCAAACGGTTACCCATCTATGCACTAACCCGGCTCGAGGTTGCTTAACTTAAATGATTGTACGGAATGCGGCCGTAAACCTTTCTTTCTTTTTTCCGCATTGTCTTTCTTCATTTTTATAATTTCATATTTGTTTACTTTCGTTTCTCGCTTTCTTTCTTTTGGCTTTTCTTTCTTATATACTCTTTTTTTTCTTTAACTTCCCCCCTTTCGCTAATTCTTTGTTTCTTTAGTTTCTCCCATCCATCCATCATTCTTTCTTTTCTTTTCTTTTCTTTCTTTCTTTCTTTCTTTCTTTTCTTTCTTTCTTTCTTTCTTTCTTTCTTTATTTATTTATTTATTTATTTATTTATTTAGCTTCTTATACTCTTTTTTCTTACATAAATTTCTCCCTCCTTCCCTTCTGTCTTTCGTTCTTTCTTTCTTTCTTTTTCATATTCTTTTTCTTTATTTAATTTCTCTCTTTCTTTCTTTCTTTCTTTCTTTCTTTCTTTCTTTCTTTCTTTCTTTCTTTACCTTGTCATGTTCTTTTCTTACTTTAATCTCTCCCTTCCCTGATTCTTTCTTTCATTGTCTTCTCATATTCTTTTTCTTACATAATTTCTCCCTCCCCTCTTTCTTTCTTTCTTTCCTTCTTTCTTTCTTTCCTTCTTTCTTTCTTTCTTTCTTTCTTTCTTTCTCATATTCTTTTTCTTTATTTAATTTCTCTCTTTCTTTCTTTCTTTCTTTCTTTCTTTCTTTCTTTTCTTTCTTTCTTTACCATTTTCATGTTTTTTCTTACTTTAATCTCTCTCCTTCCCTGATTCTTTCTTTCATTGTCTTCTCATATTCTTTTTCTTACATAATTTCCCCCTCCCCTCTTTCTTTCTTTCTTTCTTTCTTTCTTTCTTTCTTTCTTTATTTATTTATTTATTTAGCTTCTTATACTCTTTTTTCTTACATTAATTTCTCTCTTCTTCTTTCTTTCTTTCTTTCTTTCTTTCTTTCTTTCTTTCTTTCTTTGTCTTCTCATATTCTTTTACTTACATAATTTCTCTTTCCTCTTTCTTTCTGTCTTTGCGATTCGCTATTATTTTTCACTATTGTCCTTTTGTTTTCTTAAATTGATTATTGTTTTTTCTTTTTCTCTTCATCTTTTCTTGTCATCTTTTAAATACATTCCAGTATTTTCCAGCAAAAACTAAAACGAACAATCCTTAAACAAATTTAATAAAAATGATGCAAGCCATTCCGTTTGCCGTTGTTCAAAATACCCGAAACTAATATTGATCAAGACAATTATTCAATGTTAAATTCTCAAATTATTACAAAAATAATAAAGAAAACGTTTTCAAAATCCAATTCTACTTCTACCGTCGTATTTCTGAGGAGTTTATATATTGATAGATTTTCAAGAAATGAATTCAAACCTAACAAATTCTAAAATGGTGTGATTTTATGTACTTGAACTTGAATCATTTCTCCATCTTGCCTTCCATCCATTCTTTGTTTCTTTCTTTAGTTTCTCCTTTTCATCATTCTTTCTCTCTTTCTTTCTTTCTTTCTTTCTTTCTTTCTTTTTACTTTCTTTCTTTAACTACTCATATTATTATCTTACTTTAATTTCTCGCTTTTCTCTCTCTTTCTTTCTTTAGTTTCTCATATTCTTTTTTCTTAATTTAATATCGCCCTTCTCTCTTTGTTTGTTTGTTTCTTTCTTTTTTTCTTTCTCATATTCTTTTTCTTACTTTAATTTCTCCCTTTTAACTCTCTTTCTTTCTTTATCCTTCTTTCTTTCTTTCCTGGTTTAGTTTCTAATATTCTTTTTCCTTACTGTAAAATTTCCCTTCCTTCTTTCTTTCTTTCTTTCTTTCTTTCTTTCTTTCTTTCTTTCTTTCTTTCTTTCTTTCTTTCGCTTCTCATATTCTTTTTTCTTAATTTAATGTCCCCTCTTCCCTCTTTCTTTCTTTCTTTCTTTCTTTCTTTCTTTCTTTCTTTCTTTCTGCTATCTGCTCACGCAACAATGTTAGGTAGGTCATGCGCTGTTTTCATCTCTCCATCTTGCCTTCAGTCCTTCCTGTGAGTGTCAAACTTTTCAAACCCTCTTTCCTCATTATCTACCCAAGAAATTTCAACTGCCTCTTTCTATTGTAAAGTATATGAGTCTTTTTTGCTTCCATTTGTTTTGCTCAAGTGTTCGGTCCATAGCATTCTCAGCATCTTTCTGTAGAACCACATAACTCTTTCCTCATGGCTCTTTTTCAATGTTGCATAGGAATAGTATTACCTATAATAATATTTTTTTTTTTGTTTTTAATAAAAACTAGCAGTAGAGCCCGGCGTTGCCCGGGGATGTAACAGTAAGAGATAGATCAAGTATCGACCATCATAAAGACTGAAAAATTAAATTGACAAAGATTATTTTTTAAGGTTGATGGACATGCATATCTTAATTAGTTTTTTTTTTTTTTACGAATTGGTCAAACCCAAATTCAAACAAAAACATTGTTTACAATCGTTATGAGTCTATCGATTGGTGAATAGAATTTTATTATAAACAATTGTCTTGTAAATGGAATTTTTAAAGCATTCTGAATGTAAATAAAAAAAGTGTGCAAGACAATAAAAATACTACCTGCCGAAAAAAAAGTGGATGTTTGTTTTATCGGCTGAAAATGTAAGAAAATCCCATATATAAAGGAACACACACACACACACACACACACACACACACACACACACACACACACACACACACACAAACAAACAAACAACCTGGGTCTTTTAACCTAAGTCACTCCACGGAATCGCTAAAACATAGAGCATAGTCTGATGAAAAAGACGCTAAACTTTATGAAAACAAAATTTTATCGTCAAAATGCTTATTTTTTTATGAAGAGGATAGACTAATTTTTTTTTAATTATTTTTTAAAAAATTTTTCCATCTTTTTAGAATATTCTAAATTTTGATTTGAAAAACCTTGTTTTCACTTTGTCGCAACAAGGGGTAGTAAATAACATAGATAATTTTAGCGCATTTTTTGTATTTACACATTAATTTGGAAAATCTTGCAAAAATAAAAATAATTGTCAGATGTTAATGAAACTTTCAGAAACTATTCAAAGATGATCGAAATTATTATAAATATGTTTTTTTATTAAATTCATGGCAGAAATATTTGTTTTATATTTATTAACACTCCCATAACTAATTTTATGAAAAACTCTAGAAATTCGAGACCATCGGTTTTAGTGATTACAAGAGTTAAAAGCACAAGGCTTTGAAGAATACAAATCATGTTTTTTTTTTGTTTTTTGTTTCTTTTGGCCAACGTACCTGAAAATCAGCTGTGAATCGTAACATACAAAAGTCAATAAAACAAATATATTATTTAGTTTCAAATGCTTTTATTTGTTTTAATTTGTTTTTATGAATATGGACAATATTTTCTGAAAGCAAAACATTTTTCAATGAAAATTGAATTTTAATACAATTATTTCTTATTTCTTTAATTTTAAAGATTTTTAAAAAATGTTTAAATTGAATTTTAAAAAATATTTTAACATTAGTTAAAAGCAACATCAACCTTTCAAAATGTCCGTGTGAGATTGTCATTGTCTAGCGCTTTGAAAATTGTATAATTTGGACCAATCAGATTAGCCATGGTAATTAAGAAATGTAATTTTTGTGTTTATAGTCGGACAGTAATTATCAAGTACGGAAGACCAACCAGAATACAATTTAGTTGCATTATTTGAGTTCAGCATTGTTCTCCGCTGTTAAGCCCTTTACTTTTGCGAAACACGTATGGAGAAGTTAATTTGATTTTTCAATTTCAACTGAGAAGGGTACCTATAAGAATCAGTATCATCTTATGAAATTTAACTACTGCTAAACTTTAATTTATATGATCTTATTTTTATATTAATCTCAGTTATGACATTTTTCCATAAATGAAATATCAAAATTAATAATAAAATGAATGGAAATACAAATAACACAGTAAAATGTAATAAATGTACATAAAATTATAGTATTTTATGTACACTTCTAATAAAATTTCATAAGAAAGCTACCTAAATTAATTAGATACCTTTTTCTTATGAAATTTAATCTCACTATTAACAGTCTTATTTTTAATTTCTTTATATTTTCCATAAAGCATCGTAAACGTAAAAATGAAAGCTAAGTACAAAAAAAAAAATAAAAAATTAGAGCGCTGAAAGTTTTTCCTTAAAAGTAACAAGGTAAATAATTTGTTCACTTAAATAATTTCACTTCCTTCCATCTGTAGAAAAATTCTCCTCCCGTAAGTTATCTAAACGTCATGAATGTGCCTTTCGTCAATCGTCAAGCGACGCGAAAGGTTATGACCTCTTTGTTTTATTTTCAAATTACATTTTTCGGCGCAGAAGCTAAGTTAAGCTTGGTTCAAAATATTTTAAATAAACAGTACAATATCTGTTTTTTATTAAAATCATTTTGAAAAAAAAAAATGATAATTGATTTTTAAAAGAATATCAAAGTAAGATTTTAATCTTTTTATCAAATTGAAAAAAATGATTGAAAATGATTATCTGCCCTTTTTTTTTTGACAAAAAAAAACATTTTTAACGAAAATTTGAGACGTGCTAGGAACGATTAAAAATGTAAAAAAAATACCCCCAAAATACTTTGATCTTTCCTCTTTAATAATAATATGAACATTAGACGATAAAATTTTGTTTTCGTCAAGTTCGGCGTCTTTTTCATCATGCTATGCTCTTTTGTTTACATTTTCGTGGGTGAGTTCTCCCCCTTTCATTCTCACGATGTGTCTTAATCGTGTTTTCAAATTGATTTTATTAAAAAAACAACTGTATTTTTCCCATTTTCGGCCCCGTTAGAACCACCAAAAGGTAATTTTATGTAGTCCTGTGAAGTTTTGTTGAAATCGGCTAAAAAATGTAGGAAATTCGATCCAACATATAAACGTTACAGACACACACACACACAACCTGCGTTTTATAATAAGTAAGATTTCCTTTTTTCATAAGACTTTGCTTAGATTTTGGAAGGCATCTTCCGCTATTCCAATGCCACTTTGGACGTCAGTATTGCACTTTCCATCCTCTGTTAAAACACTTCCCGGATATTTTACTGTTTCTTAATACTTTGCTTAGCTTTTGGAAGGCATCTTTCTCTATCCCAATGCTCCTTTGGATTTCAGTGTCACACTTTCCGACCTCTGTTAAAACACTTTGTAGATATTTAAACTTTTGTATTTGATTGATTTTCGTATCTCTAATTTGTAAGTTAAGCTGCTCCTTTTTGCTGGCAACCATGCATTCTGCCTTCTTACAACTGATATCTACTCCTAAAAAAAAAAAAATTAAAAAACTTGCGAAAAACTGAATGTTAATTTCTGCATACATATTTCATCCTGCATAATTTTTCGATACAATAACCTGTTTCATATAGCAGAGGAGTACTGGAGTCTAACTTGGAAATGACCTGTGACTGATGGGCCCCGTATATCATTCACAAACGTCTAACAAAATGTTGTATCGTGGGCGTTGTGTCCCAGATGATAACCGACAAATATGGGCCTCTGATGCCATAGGGACACAAAAAAACATTTTTTGGCGTTACGTCACAATTTCTGTCTATTAACGTGATAAATCTCGAGTCAACCACGCTGAAGAAACAGCACGAAAATGAAAAGTTCGGAATAGGATTTAAGTGAGATTTTTCCCGTTCCGGTAAATGACCTGAGGACATGGTTATTTCCACATGCTTCCAATGATAAATAAATATTGTTTTATGGACATCTAAGACATTGGTCTTTCTCTTTTATTTCCCGAAAATACATTTTTACATATTTACCATCTATAGCAGACATACACACGCAAACAGACGTACACCCACGCATGTAGACATACATTTTTATTTCACTGCAATAATTTCTGTCTATATCTGAGATAAGGTATAATTATTACTTGCATTATTTACATTATTCGGACTGATATCCTCTCGTCTTCGTTGCTATATTCACAACGTTTCGGACGTTGTAAGCTCCGGCCCACTTAAGGTGATTGGATCTTTGAGATGAGGTATTTTGATTACTTGCATTATTTACATTATTCGAACTGATATCCTCATCTTCATTGCCATATGCACAACGTTTCGGCCTCTATATCTCTGAGAAGAGGTATTATGATTCCTTGCATTATTTACATTATTCGGACTGTTATCCTCATCTTCATTGTCATATTCACCACGTTTCGGCCTCTATATCTCTGAGAAGAGGTGTTATGATTCCTTGCATTATTTACATTATTCGGACTGTTATCCTCATCTTCATTGTCATATTAACCACGTTTCGGCCTCTATATCTCTGAGAAGAGGTATTATGATTCCTTGCATTATTTACATTATTCGGACTGTTATCCTCATTTTCATTGTCATATTCACCACGTTTCGGCCTCTATATCTCAGGGAGAAGAGGTATTATGATTACTTGCATTATTTACATTATTCGGACTGTTATCCTCATCTTCATTGCCATATTCACAAACCTTTCGGCCATTGTACGCTCCGGCCTTCTTCTGGTAATTGGAATTTCGAACCGAACCGTTTTTTCGTCCACCGGGGTAGATTGTTCTAGTTCCACGTGCTATGCCTCTTCCGGACGTCTCAATTATTTCTCTTTAACTCAATGATCGTCAAAGACGCATAAACAAGTGGATAAAGGTCTATAAAGGTTAAATCCAGTCGCTAGACCCAAAGAGTTGTGAGTTAAATACCTGGCTACGGAAGCGGTGAACCAAAATAGCCACTCTATTAGAACGTTTAAATTCATGAAGTTGAGATTATCAATGATGAGAAGCTATTAGAACAATTGCTATGAAAATATTTAAAGAAAAGACTGAGCGAAGCCACATTATGGCGGTGATAAAGTGCCTGAAGCCGAGATGCCAGGTCAGGACCAATAACATTACAGACCCTTCTTTGGATTTTGTCAAGAATCTCGAGATATATGGAAGGAGCACCAGATCAGACAAGACATAGCGGCAATATTCAAAGTCCAGACGAGTGGTAGATTTATTTTTTATTTATTATTATTATTTCACCCCAAGGAATGCGATAAAGCCACTAACACACAATGGGTTACTTGGAGTGAAAGAGAAGGATTTAGGGAGGAGGAAGGACAATAAAAGAACAGTTACCGGACGACACAATATGGCGATTAAAGTTGAATTTAAATTTATAAAGATTGCAGGTGGCAAAGAAACGAGAAATCGAGAGAGAATTCCACAGATGAAAAGTGCTAGAGGTGGAGAGAGAGAGAGAAAGGACAGAGAGAGAGAAAGAAAGTGAGATGTCAGAGGTGTGGGGAGAGAGAGAGAAAGGACAGAGGTGGGAAGAGAGAGAAATAACAGAGGTGGGAAGAGGGAGAGAGAAAGGACAGAGGTAGGAAGAGAGAGAGAGAGAGAGAAAGGACAGAGGTGGGAAGAGAAAGAGAGAGAGAAAAGTTAGAGGTGGAGAGAGAGAGAGAGAGAGAGAAAGGACAGAGGTGAAGAGAGAGAAAGAAAGGACAGACGGAAGCCACGTCACGTCGGTGCGAAAGAGAGTAAAGTCGAGATGCGAAGTCAGGACGAATAACATTATAGACCCTTCTTTGGATTTAGTGGACAATCTCGAGATATATAGCAAGAGAATCAGACCAGATATGGTAGCTATTAATATAGCAATATACGCTCATAACCAATGATTTTTGTATTTTTCAGATTGTTTTTTCAAACGATTTCTGTTAATTTCTTTCTTTTGTACCTAATATTCATCACATTAAGCTATTTGTTTCATTTTCGAGTACAATTATATATATTCCTGGACCTCTTCCAGTTTGCCATCTTCTGTTGTCATATTCTCTATTCGGAACGTTGCATTTAAATAAACTTCTCGTGAAGGATCATAGCTCTCCACAGTTTCCTCTACATTTGCAGGTCTTAGCAATGTTGTCTTTTCAATAATTCTACTACTCTTTCTTCTGCCACGCATTTGCACAAGCTTGTTATATAGATTGCTCAATGTTACCCTATGCATTCAATATGTTCCATGACTGCTAGACTTTCCAAGGTTTCTTTCCTCATTATGAAATTTCAAGTATCTTTTTCTCATTCGAAACATAAGTCTCCTCACTATTTACATTATTCGGACTATTGTCCTCATCTTTGTCGCCATATTTATTACAACGTTTCGGACGTTGTACGCCCCGGCCTTCTTCAGATGGTTGGAATGTCGAACTTAACCCTTTATTTCGCTCAGAAATATAGACAGTTACTGATAAGTCTCCTCTTTATTTCCTGATCATTGATAATTTCACGCTGCTCATACGCTCCGAACATTATATTTTCAGTATCTATCTATCTATCTATCTATCTATCTATCTATCTATCTATCTATCTATCTATCTATCTATCTCAATCTGCTCCCTATCTTTCTATCTGCCTATCTATCTGTATATCTATCCATGCATATATATATGCATGGATAGATATAAAGAACAGTAAGATATATAATCTGGTGTTCTTATAGATATTTTTATTTTTACAAAATAGTGCTCAATGTAAATTTACAGAGCATAAATATTATAAATTAATTGATTTCAAATATGTTCTTTTCGCTAAAAAAACAACATATTTTAAATCAATTAATTTATAATATTAATGCTCTAAAAAAAAACATAAAAAAAATAGCGAAAAAAACATATTTTAAAATATATATATATATATATATATATATATATATATATATATATATGTTTCGTTGTAAAGTTTAGACATATTCTCTGTACTTATTTTCATTACTGAAAGACGAGAGAAAATCGCCGTATTTATACATATTTGTTTTATTACCAAGTACTTTCGACATATCCATATCACCATCAGGTTATTTTTTATAATAAAATAAATATTATAGTATCCATTATTGTCAGGGACAAATTGTTATGTTATCTGAAATTTAAATTTGTTACAAATGTAATCAGAAACGCATCGACAGTGCGTGACCGCTGAAACCGTTTAAAGGGGGGGTGTATCTATTTATGGTTTGTAGAGTTTTTTTTTACGACATGAGTAGTAAAAAGAGAAACTATTATTGTAAACCTTGGCATTTCAACTCCTCTATTATATACATTTTAAAATGAGTATTCATAATTAATTTATATGGTTTCAATTTTATAATATAGATAGCTTCAAGAATATTTATGTTTATTCTTTTCGTGAAGATGTATAGAGGTATTTTCAACGAGGATTTTTCTGAATTGCGAATGTGGACAGGTTTGTTGTTGTAAATGCTTAGAAATGCTAGACATATTATTCAAATGAAATCTTAGCCGCCGAGACAACTTTGTTATAGTGTGTCCAACATAAATATTATTTTTAACATGAGAGATACAATCTCCCAAAGGACATCTAAATTTATAAACAATGTTGTTTTTCTGCAACACGTTGTGGAGCAAGCTGAGTGAATACTAATTCAACATTGAGAAAGAGAGCTATTTATGGTGCAATGGAGCATCTCATTATGCTAAAGTGGGATAGTCCATTGCTTGGGCTGTGACTGGCTGCTGGCACCTGAGCGGAAGTATTTCTATATAAATACTAGCATGATTTCTCAGTTAGTTTGCAGGGTTTGTATTAAGTTACAACCTGCTTTATTTTTGTCTGCCAGCTGGACGCTATCTGGGACTCTTACGCCGGTAAGTGCTGTTTATTATTGTTATTCTACAAGTTGGTGGGATAGAGTTATTACGAATGATTTTATTAGATATAGTAGATTTAGTTTAGTATATTTGGTATTAAAACAAATATGTACAAACATGGCGATTTTTAAGTGAGAGATAGATATACGGAGACGACAGAGAAAGAGAGGTTTTGATAAAATAGGGCGGGGGAATATAGAAAAAAACAGAGAGGTCGAAATAGAAAATTTAGATAAAATAGGAGGGGGAAACAGAGAGGTTTAATGAGACTGAGATTGCAAGTAGAGATAGACGCCGAAAAAGATAGAGACAACGACACACAGAGCGAATTAGAGTGAGAGAAAGAAATTTAACTTTCAGATAACACAACAATTTGAAAATAATGGATACGATAATATTTATTTTATTATAAACAATACGCTGATGATGACATAGATATGTCGAAAGTACTAGGTAATAAAACAAATATGTACAAACATGGCAATTTTCTCTCGTCTTTCGGTAACGACATCAAAGTACGAAAGTATCATATCGAAAATAAGTAGACAGAATATTAGTGGTAAATATACACATACGTATGCAAAATATATAAATATATATACATAGGTGCATACACATACATGTATATTTTTTTAATAAAAAATTCCAACAGGATAGAATCCAGGTAGAACTCAATGTCCAGGACAGAGTAAGAATATAATAAAAAGGCTTAAACACTAATATTAT